AAACAAATCACTCGCTTCCATGAGGCCGCCGGAACAGGCCGGAGGCTTGACTTTTGGCACTTGTGACTTTTGGCTTTGGAGCACCATGCTAAGTCTTCTAATTAGCCCAAAAACAAATACTCCACACCCAAGCAACAGGGCAAGTTGAAAGCATGTTTAGCATGCCATTGCGAAACAGCGCGTAACAGCGCCAATCCACTTTACGCCACCGTTACAAACATGACAACGTCACAGCGTTGGATCTTGAATGCAGCATTTATTTCTGTTGATAGGAGGGCGTGGTCCTCACCCCAAACACTTCCAACACAAAAGCTCTCTTCCAACCCAAACTCAACAAGAAAACGCTCTGTTTTTCTGCGTCTTCTCAAGGCCTTCACGGGCCGATAGGGCTTCTTGGCCCCACTTGACATGTAAAAAGGGCTTCAAGATCGAACATGATCAAGCCATGCAAAACGCTCATGAGAGTGCATCAACACTCCCCCTAGCTTCTTTGAAGCTACTCGGCTGGGTGCTGTCACATCCGGGTACTCCTGATCCGAAGATCATTCTTCCCGCACAGATGGATCAGCTACCTTCAGCCATCTTTCACCCAGCTCAAGCCCTTGATAGGCGATGTCTTCAGTCGCCAGTGGTGTTCCATTTCGTAAGGCAGCTATGGCCGTAGCGCTAAGCACACAACAATGTCCCAAACATTGAACAGCTTCACTGTAGTGCCAACCACAACCAGCAGCTTGTAAACTCAAAACTCGACTTGGCCTCTCAGGCCTTGCAGCAACAAGCAACTCAACCCAATGCCCAAGCCATGCAACCATAGCTCACACCGCAGCCAACAATGTCCCATACACTGTAGGCCTTGTGGCCAAAATGGCCTTAGAGACCTCATGGTCTCTTGCAGACTTCCGCTCCGGCTCAAAGGTTGAGGCCTTGCTGCCTCATCTCCTGCGCACAAAGTACGCAGATGTCGTACTTTTTGTCCAGGAGTGTCGTGCATCCCGGACGCTGAAGATCTCCTCGATGGTGGATCTCGCCCCAGCCCTTGCACCAGATCGAATCGCCTCTGCGGATCCTGTTGAGATCAGGCGTGCATTGATGGCATGGAGGCGATGCCCTTAGCAGCGAAGACGTCAGGGTTTGGCACTCCTTGAACACATGGTATTTCTGGCCATACTTGGTGATGTAGACACCCAGCCTACCAACTCCCTGGTCATCATGGCCTGGTGGAGGCTCGGCAGCTTGAAAGGCCTTCGGGAATGCCTTTGGGGCCGCTTGTGAGGACTGCGGCTCCGTCGGCTCCCAAGACTCATCAGCTCGCATATCGCGATAGTCCCGTCCGTCGGGTAGTAGAGGGTCTCCTCCTCTTCAGGCGCTTCAGCCGTCGGGGTGGCCTGCTCTGCCGGGATCTCTTGCTCTGGTTCCTCTTGGATTGACGAGCTTGCCAGGATCCCAGCCTGACGCCTCTCTTCGATGGAGAGTGAGGCCATCCATCTCATCAACCAACTTCTATTCGCTTCTGCGAACTGGATTTGCTGCTCGCGTGTCATAGGTTCAGCAGGTCCGGAGTGCGAGGTGGATGAAGAGGACGTTGTATCTCCTTCTGACTTCCCCTTTTCTTTTCCTTTTCCTCCTCCCTTTCTTTTTCCTTTTGACCTCATGCTGTGTCTATTGACTTCTCGGCCTTGGTTGTCCACTGTAAGCGAGCTCCCTTGAGAAGATGACTCGGAACTGAAGAAACGAGGTGGTTCCGGCGCCGGTGGACATGGTTCTGGTCCTCCAGCTTGATCGGCTCCTGGTGCCCTTGGAGTGGTGAGCCAAACCATCAACCTTCTAAGGAACAGCGTGGCGAGGATGACCAAAACAGTGTAAATCATCATGAAGTACTTGAGGGGCTCATCATCTCTTTCACCTTGGGCCTTGGCTTTCGAAAGGATAGCCATCATCACAGCCAACTGAAGGGCGTTTCCAGAGATGGGATTGGGACATCGTTCCCCTTTTTCACAATCCCTTTCCTTCATGCTTACCGCCTCTGGGCCTTCCTCCTTGGTCTTTTCTTCTTTTGGTCTTGCCGCCTCTGGGCCTTCCTCCTTGGTCTTTTCTTCCTTTGGTCTTACCGCCTCTGGGCCTTCCTCCTTGGTCTTTCCTTCACATTCCTCTTGTGAAATCATCATCATCAACTCTTTCAGCTCTTTCGTTCGCTGAACTGTGAGAGCCTTGGTGCCCAAATCAGCGATCATTACTGAACCTGGAAGATGTCGAACTCTCCAGTCCAAATTTGTAATTCGCCAGCGAACATGCTGGGCTCTGAGGCGAAGGTGTCGAGTTCGCCAATTGGCATTTCCATCGGCAAAGAATCCGGTGGCCGCCAAGTTGTCCACGAAGAGGGTCTTCTTGTACAGGTCTTCGCGCTCGTTGATCAAGCAATCAACAGCATCTCCTGTTTGGAGGCCCTCGATGGCTTCTAGGAGCTCGGATTCAGCCGTTGATAAGGCCGGAAAGGCCTGCTTTCCACTTTTCCAAAACATCATGAATCCATTCCAGGTGACCATCACTGATCCATGCGCAGCTTGTGTTTCAGGATTGGCTGCGAAGCTGGAGTCCGTGAAGACTTCTAAGGCCCTTGGTCCTCCATCCCAACCTTCTCCCTTTTCTTTTCCAAACTTCAAGCCCTCATTCGGCGTGTTCTTCAAGTACTTCCAGACTTGAGTAGCTTGTTCAATCACCCAAGCCGGGTGGGCAAGGATTTCTTGGGCGCAGCGACTGGTGGCATAGGAGATGTCAGGTCTTGTTCTGGTAGATAACCACATCAACTCTCCAACCAGCTTTTGGGCCTTGTTGACCAACTCCGGTGTTGGTTCTTCGGGTGCTGGATGAGCATCTTTGTTCATCGGAACCTTAATGTGCTTCCCTCCTTCCACCCCTTCTTTATCTTTGATGTAATCTTCTTGGGATGCAATGAACTCACCCTTTGAACCTTTTGTGAGCTCCATCCCCAAAAACTTCACCTTTCCTTCCAACCCCAATTCTTCAGGAGCTGAGGTCTCCCATTCTTTCTGGAGAGTCTTCGTGATGACCTGGATGGTGGACGCTTCGCCGACAATCATCAGGTCGTCGACATAGACCAGCAAAAAACCTTCCAGTTGTTCGTCTTGGCTGCCTTCTTCCATGGGATCACCTTTGAGAATGGCCCAAAGATTTGGTTCGGCAGCCGATTGGACAAAGTAGTGGCTTTCTTCAGACCTCATCTTCCGGAGAACACTGTCCCGGTGCAATCCCCAACATCGTGGTGACTGCCTGAGGCCATACATGGCCTTTTGTGCCAAGTAGTACTCGTTGTGCTGCACATGGCCAATCTTGATCAGAAGAGCTGGAGGCTTGAGAACGACCATGGTGGGGACATCTTGCTCGTTGTCGAGCGGCGCACACTCTTATGTCCATAACAGAGGCCTTCCAGTCTTCTTCTGCTGCTCTTTTCAGGACGTAGCGGATGCAGACTGCATCAGCACCGGAAGCATACAGACAGCGATCTTTCTCTTCTTCGCAGGTTCGATCGACGAAGTTCCCACAGGCCACCAGCCGGATTTTTCTCCGAGGACCAGGCTTCAGGGTGATAACCACCTTCGATGGGACCACTTCGAGCCGCTTTCCAAGTCTGTTGCAGCTGTTGGAACTCCTTTTCATTGATTTTCTTCAAAGCTTCCTTTTCTTGATTTTCTTCAAAGCTTCCTTTTCTTCAAAGAGTTGATGCAGCTCCTTTTTGATCGCTTCATCCCACTTTGGAGCTTCTTGAAGTACTTGGAGGATCAGCCTGGTTAGTAAATGTTTATCGTGGTTATTACACATGGTATGTACTTAGTAACCTACTCATATTTGGCCTAAGTATAGTTAGTAACTGTTATATCTTTCGTAAGTGCTTGGGTAACTTTATTATAGTTATATAAGTACTTACCGGAAACTATAAGTGATTAGTAAGTACATCAAATTTTATTCCAGTTAGGTAAAATTTAAGTCGCCACTTATGGCAGTTATAGTTAAGTAGCATATGTACTTACACAAGTTATAGTTAAGTAGCATATATGTACTTACACCACTTATGGTAAATGGACTAACTAAGTTACTGCTAACTGCACTAACTGACTTATAACACATACTTAGTGCACTTAGCTGGTTTGGATATCATGTTTTTTTTCAACATTGTATAGCTGAAAAACAACATGTTCGCAGCCGTGTGCGATCCCATGTTGTTTTTGGAAAGATTATTTTGCATTCAGCTGACTTGGATGCTCGGGAGAAATGGTTTACTGATAAGTTGCAGGCTGTATTTTTTCTGCGACATAGAACATGTTTGTCCTGGAATCGCTGATGCAAGTTGAGAGTTGTTGTTTTTTGTCCGGTGCATCTTTCGAAATCTTGATGGAACGGCTTGTTTGTTCGTGATTCTTTATTTTGGCGACGGTTCGCCGCGCATCTTCTGGCTCAACATACACTTGTGTGTCTCTTTTTGATGAGATACATGATTTCCTGGAGATTTGCCATTGCGTGAGCCTCGAAAGGGTTCCCTGATTTTGTGAGACCAAAAATAGATCATAGATATTCTGTTGGCAATTTGCGCTTCACTTGTTTCCTCAGGTGCATCCAACCAGGATGTGCAGAGACCTCGTCCTTGCGCTCAGGCCGACTGCGGACATCATTTTCAGGTGCCTGCAAAGCTTGACAGATTTCATCGTGTTCTGTCTTCAGTTGGTTTTTGATTCGAAAAGATTGTTCATGGCTCATCGTGTGGCGCGGCCTGGCTCGCTGCATGGCTCACGCGGGGCACAGCTCGCTGAGCAAAGGAACATGCATGTGAGACATCATGCTCGAATGCATGGACATGATCATGCTTACGCATAAATGCACGATTTTTTGACATATAAAGTATAAAGGAACAAGCAACATTCCATGCATACATGCGTGATGTCGTGTTTTATAAAATATTCAACACCAACATCCAGAAACCTTGTGCCATGGATTCCGTCTTACGTGGAAAGCTCGCTGAGCAGATGAGCAGAGCGGAGAATGAGGCATTGCTGGCTGGAATGGAAAACACTTACCAGTTGCTAAGGCAGAGTGGTTTGATGTATACCATTCAGATATCCCCAGCTTTCGTCGGCTGCCATCCTCAGAACAGAGATGGAATCGGCGTGGACCAGCAACATGTCCATTCTTTGGTGGACAAGTTCCAAGAGTCTGGCTTCGTGAGCTCCGCTGGGCGCTATATGGCCGTGGAAGTGGAGCCTGTAAATAACACTGTGAAGGATTTCAACGAGGAAATGGTTGCCAAGAGCAACGGCCAGCTTCTAGATTGCATTGCTGGCACATATATAGATATGTGTCAACGTTGTGGATGGTCAGGTTTATTTATGTAGAGTTAAAAAACTGCGTTGGAGATGGTTTCTCAGTTTTGGGCCGGCTCCGTGAGGCTCGCACCCATCAAGGACACCTTGAAATACGCCTCCATCAGCGGCTCGCATTCCAATCAGGCTCTTCGCCTGTGGCACTATGCGTGCCAGCACAATGGCAAGCCGCTATCCATCGACGCCTTGCGCGTTGATGATGCGGCGTACGCAGAGTGCGCTTCAAGTGGGGTAATGTGGCAGGTCATTGACCACGCAGTGGTCCAAGCATTCCCACAGTTTGTGGGTCTCTGCCAAGCAGCCTGCAACAGTGTGCAACAAGTGTCCCAGGTCGAGACGGAGTTTCAGCTCATGCACCGGCTGAGGCAACACGTGGGGGCAAAGGGAGAGCTTCCCCCATATGCTGACATCGCCCCAAGCATCTTAAGGTCGCATCCACCCAACCCGGACGTGCTGCCTTATGTCTACAAGTTCATGAGCAGGTTTGGAGAAGCCTCAATGATGAAGAACACTGAGTCCTTCGTGGCCGCGTTCGGCTCAGTGAAAAACCAATTGGGGGCAAGTGTCTGGGATGCATTGTCACTGGACACCAGGCACAACAATGAGGATTTGGTTCTTTGGCGCCAGGCGTTGCTGAAAACTATGATGACCTGCAATGACCGAGTGGTTTCCGTGGGAGACATCTAGCGTAGCCTCTCCAACGCCAAGATGCTCACCAAGATCATTGCGTTTGAAAAAACTTGTTGACATTGAAGAATGAGATGCCGAAGTTCAAGCTGACGGAATTCCAGAAAATTGCAGGCCTTGGCGCCTTTGAGGTGCGGTGTGTGATGTTCGTGCTCCAAAAGAAACCCAAGGATCCCGATGCACAGTTGACCATGCCTGTGAAGTCCGTTGCGCATGCAGCTTACTTGTGTCATGATGATTGGAATTCCTCGTCAGAAACGAAGGTTCCAAACCCTTGGCCCATCCCTGTAGCGCCAGCAAGTGCCAAAGCCGCTCCATCGACTGCAGCCACTGCTGCAAGGAGGGGTTTCGACAGCCTAAACAGATACCTCCCAAATATATGGAAGGGTTCTGCATGGGGTATATATCTATATAGCTTGGCTATCTATATAGCTTGGCCACGACGCAGGATCCGTGAGTACGACGATGCTGGCAAGGCAAAGACTGCAGCGAGGCTCATGGAGAAGTTTGCCATTGGTGACTTGCTGGTGAGATCAGACGGTGAGGGTGGGAGAATCCTCGCCATGACCCCCCTTGAATTGAAGATGCAGGGTGATCAAGGTGAGTTCGTCCTCCAGGCCGATGAGGTGTTGAACTCCTCAGATTGGAAAAAGCAGAGTGAGCCCAAGCCTCGTGTTCCTGTGAAAGATCCGGATCTGTGGCATTCCGTGCTTGCAGCTACGGATGTCAAGGCTCGAGCTTCCATCCGTTTGTGGGAAGAGGGTTACAAAATGACCCCAAAGTCTGATGACTTGTCACTGTGGGCCAAGCCCAAGGGCGTCATAGTGACCAAAGACTTCGGCAAGGGCAAGATTGTTTTGCCAGCCTTGACCAATCGGATCGAACTTACTGTGCGACGAGAAGGTTCAGGGGTGACTCAAATCTGTTTTATCAACGCTGTACTTTTTTTGTTTGAATGGGTATATAGTCACGCATATGTATACAAGTCTTCTTGCAGCCCAGGAAGAAGTGTCGTCTCTACGTGCTGTCACCTGCAGGGTGCAGCATTCCTTTCTGGCTGTTGGCCACTACCACTGAGTCAGATGATTCCAACATGTCGCTCCAGTACATCAAAGGCATACCGTGTGCCAAGAGCACTCGTGACATTGAAAGCGGTGAAGAGCTAGTGCTTTTGAAGGAGAAGACAGAGAAACGCTTTGCGCCTCTGTCCTTCACCGATCCTGCACCCCCGCCTGCAAAAAAGAAGAAGGCCTCGGGCATGAAGTGATTTGACGTGTCTTTTCACTTGGCACATTTTTATGTTTAGCGCATCGTCAGCTGCTTTTTCAATCCTATATCAGCTGAGTTTTGGATGCGAGATATACCGTTGAAACGCACCGTCAGGAAAAAAAACATATCTTGCATTGATTGTCATTTCTTTGCACCTATATTGTAGTTGCCTTCACGCAGATGCGCAGGGCTTAGCTCGCGCATCTTGACACTGCGTGGCCTTGCTCGCAGTGTTTCTTCTGAAGTAGATACACCCCTGCGCCTTCCTGCACAGTTTTCTTGCCATGGCTGACCTCAGCTACGAGTACATGATCGTGCCAGCGGGAACGGCCCATGCAGATGAACCATTTCCTGCTGATAGCCATCCACAGTGGAGACCCTTGCCGCCAAAACAGCGCCAACGTATCGAACAAAACGATTTCGCTGTCATTTACATCACCCAGAACGGAGCATGCTATCCATTCAAGGTGAAAGAGAACACGGCTGACAAAAGCAGGTTCGTTTTCGAACGCCGTGGGTCAATGGACATGATTGTGAAAGTTATGTCTGCGGGAAGCATTGTCACTTGCATGCACATACTATAGCTCCCCTTTTTGTTTGGGAGGTTGCAAAAATGTTTGATGCTTTCAGCCCCCGTATAGTGTTGTCGTTTCAGCAAGGTCGTTAATCTCCATGTCGACACTGCCTGGGAGAAGAAGCTGATGCTCTTCCAGCTCTACTCGGCTGTGTCGGGCAGATTTTTGGGTAAGTTCAAGTGGTCGACTGACATGGGGGCTTTGAAAGTGTGGCACGTGCAGCATCACATGCGCCCGGTTGTGTGTGAGGAGCTGCAGAAGTCCAAGCAATGCAAGCTTCAGATCATTGCTACCAAGACTGATGCTGCATTGAAGCCACAGGACCATATAGTTATTGTTTGCTGTGTGCTAGCTGGTTTCAGACATATATCTGAGTCATGTGGCATGCAAGCGTACCCCCCATTATGTGCGAGATGTCTGGACACGCAGGATTTGCTGTTTACTGATGAGCTCATGGGGAAAACCAAGAAGTTGAAGATCAAGAATCGCTTCACCGGCAAGATGAAGACTGGCGTTGCGATCGCGTTTGGCCTCTGCAAGAGCTTCGACAGCAAAGGCAACCTGCAGGATTATCTCGATTTGCACAGCCAGATCACACGAACACAACCGGGTGAGTAAATGCTTTTTGAATGTAGCGAGGTGGGTCTTTAGCTGGAGGGTTCAAAAAAAGTAGTTTCTTTCCTGTTTGTTTCTTTGTTTGAATGTTTCCTTGCATGAAGTCTGGTATATATATATGTATATAACTAGAGAGGGATAGAGAGACCCACATGTTTGCCTGCTCTGGGACGGAAGCATAGAGCCCGCACAGTCGGCTTGCGCCCCAGAAACATTTAATTCTAGACTTGGTATAGGTTGATAAACCGTTGTCAAGCCAAGAGCCGATGAGACCGACTGCCAAAGGAAATGCGTAGAATCAATTTTGATAATGCTTGAAAACAGTGGTTGTGAACCTGCGTTCTTTTTGGGACTGTGTTGTTTAACATGCATGGGCCAACCTGATCCAGGGAGTGCTTCAACCATGTCTATATCTTCGAGGCCAAGCAAACATGTTCAAGTCGTGAAATGGCGGTGGGCCAATGCTGGATGCTTGCAACTCAAAGGTGTATTGTCGTCTTTGGCTGTCATATCTCGAATGTTGTTTTGCATATACATGTTTCAACTTTCTGTGAGTGGCAGTTGCCATTATACACTGTTCCATGTGTCCATACTTGCAGGCGTGCTGGCGTCTATCCTCCGTGAGGCGCATCAGGAAGTTATAAGTGCAGCTTCAAATCTGTATCGTAACATGACTGCATGATGGCCACCTATAGGCATTTACTATCTATCATTGGTTTGCCATTCATGACACTATATCTATATATATAATTTGTTCTTTTGCACCCGGTTGCACACATGCCTCACATTCTGAGAAGTGCATGTCGGGAGGCGCGTGATAGGCCCTATACTTACTGAACAGTCTGTTCTTTCCACATTGCACTTTGGTCAATTACATAAGCTGGTAGAAATTGGACATGCAGGGCTTGGCTCGCAGTCCATATACCTGCGGGCTGTGCTCGCGGTATAGTTCATGAAACATCAATTTGAATCGTGGCCTCAACATAGTATACGCTTCGCTTTGCAGGCTGCTTCTCTACGAAACTTCACGGAGTCGACGCGCCAGGACACGCTGCTGGGATCTGCTGGGTATCTCAGGTCTTTGGTGATATATTTACTATGTAGTTGAATCTAAGCGCGAGGTTGCATAAAATGGATCTGGGTGAAATAAACGCTTGCTCACCTGTGCTGGCTTCTTCTGGCTTCAGACGGATTTTCGTGCTGCAAGTCGGATGCATGCGCATCATGCCCCACATGCCCATTTATTGTATGGATCTATATATAGCCCAGCATAGATACAAGAGTTTCTTTATACTGTCACAACTATTGGTATTTAGCCCGCCTATAAAGACTGTCATAACCTTCATGTATCCGGCCGCCCACCCTCAACACATGTTAATAATTTTCAACACGAGGGATGCCCACCCTCACGCAAATTTGTTTCTTCAACATAATTCAATTCAGACCCATTGAATGACGACCAAACCTGCTCTGTATCACGATAAACATGTATCCATGCCAACTACACTGAGTCTAAACGCATTTTCACAATCCAAAGCACAATATTAGTGCGTTCAAGCGCTTCAAGCGCTTCGGTGCATGGCCATGGTGACGGAAGTGACGATCAAGGGGTCGGTGGCCACCACACTGGCAAGCCTTCCGCTGCAGCCAGTGGCCGAAGAGCAGGAGGCCGACAAGCTGCAGGAGGCCGACAAAACCGACAAGGAGAGCGAGCTTGCAGAAGGTGAAGCAGGTGAGAGGGCAGCGAAAGGCAAGGTTGAATCGATAAGCAGGAGGTAAATAAAGCAACATATTATGCGATATACATGGATAGAGAAATACATGTGAATAGATAGAAAAAGGGATAGTTTGCCCTGCCACACATGTCTACAGGGCGAGCATGTGCCCTGCCCCGCACACATGTCTACAGGGCGAGCATGTGCCCTGCCCCGTATACAGGCTACACGCCCGGCGACTTCATCACGAAGATGGTCCTCCAGCCGAAGCCTGGAGCTGATGATGGAGCTGATGCTGCAGAAGGCGAGCCGGCTGAAGGCAAGCCGGCTGAAGGCACGCCGGCTGAAGGCGCGCCGGCTGAAGCCGCTGCAGAAGGCAAGCAGCCTTTGGCTTCGGCTGCAGCTGCACCATCGGGTCTGCTGCTGCCGCCACCGCCACCGACAGTGCATCCTCCAAAGGAGGCAGCGGAATTTCCGCCAGCGCCGCCGCCGCCTGCAGATGATCATGGAGGGCCGCCAGTACCACGTGCAGGAGATGACAGGTACTGGCGGCCCGAGCGGCAGCACTACGGCAAAGCAGCTGGCAACCTGCCTGAAGCAGAGGCTGCGAAGGGGAAAAAGACGCCAGCCCCCAAGCCGATGCCGATCGAGCCGAAGAAGCCCAAGAAGAAAGATGACAAGAGTTGGGCCCCGCCGCCCCCGCCCGGCCCGGACGCCAGACGACAAGAAAGCGTGGGGAGGTGGCCAAAAGGCCGAATGGAAGAATCACGCAGCTGCAGCCAGCAAAGCCAGCAGCTCCAGCTCCAGCAGCTCATGGCGTGGCTCG